TATATATTTTCACCCTTTCCCTAAGTTTTGCTATGTCGAATTTGGTTTGAAATTAATATAAAATGTACCTATAGACATTTTTGCAGAGTTAGCACTAAAACTACAAATTGATGACACAGTGTCTAGGAAAAGCAGAAAGATCAGATCCTTCAGTGCTTACTGAATACTGCTGACTGCTCTGTCATACCAACCTGGCTGAACACTGACATTTCATTGTTTATAAAGATAGCTACCTATATGTGTTTAAAAATGGATCCGCACAAAAGAAATAAAAAAACTTTATATACAACAAATTTGTTTTTGAAAGTACAAAAATAATATTTGTCACTTCTGTCATGCTGACAAGTGGACATATATACACATGCAGGAGAAAAGGTCAGATGTGTCATCTGACAGCTATAGCCTGTATATTTTTTAATATGATGAACACACTGCCACTGAATGACAGAAGAAATGTGTATTCAAAATATTCCATATACTAAATACTGCAATACTCGCTGCATGTATAGATGCCAGTAATAACAGCCTTCATTCTACTTGATTAAAAGTCGTAAGCAAGCTAATATAAAGCACACTAAAAACCACAATAGTTTTAAGAATCTACAATCTTATATAAAGAAATTAAAAATGTACAAAATACAACTATAAAAGCAAAGAATTACTGCCATGCAAGATTTAAACTAAATGCATAGAAATGCAATTTAAACGGCAAAGTCAGGTTTACATAACACTCCAGATCAAAAGGTCAGTGGTAAATCCTACCAACAAAATGCTTAAGAAGGATTTAGGAAAAGAAATACATTCTCTCTGCTGGTATAAATCAGATCTTCAAATCCATGGGCTGAGTCTTATTTCAAGAAATTAGCTGGAATAAAAGAGAAACAACATTTTCTCATACTGAACACAGTAAAGTCATAAAACTTGGGTTTCCTTTTAAAACTTCTTTATTGCTAAGGACACTTAATGGTGTAACAGCTAAGTGCTTGGCTAGGAAACAAAAAGTGGTGATTCGAAGCCATGTGAGGAAGACTTGGCAAATCTGTTCCTGTAGAGATCATAGCCCAGAAAACCATATGGGGCAGATCTGTCACAGGGAACAGCTAGAATCAATAGAAATCATTACAGTTCTTCCCTCCCTTATGACTGGAACTTGTGCTCAAAACAGTGTGTGAGCCGTTCTGGGCAACACTAGGATATCTGTGATAGTGAACCACATGTTAATCTAAGCTCAGGTTTTGCAACTATATAGGCTTTATTTTTTAAAAAGCAATAAAATAGGAACAAAACCCAAAAAGCACATTCTACCTAAAGGAATTCAAGGGTCAAATGCATTGAAAGCAGACTCCAAAACATAGATTTTGAGTTTCAAAGCTGGAAAAGATATAAGTATTTACCTCTTTAACAGTTGTTTTTATGAAATCTTTCCTTTCAGTTAAATCATAAGCTGGATAATTTTCATATACCTATCATGAAAAGGGGGGAATGAAAAGATTAAAACAAAGCTCAATTTCTCTTTGGATATGAAGAAAAAAAAATTATGCTAAAAATCAGCTGCATATATAGCTAATAATACACTGGTGCACCACAAAGAAATGTATTGCAAATCAGTAGTTTTTAATAATACTGTATGCAGAGCAGAAGATAGAAACTAACACGTAAGCACTCCAACACTGTACAAAGGGGTACTTTTGATGGAATTTCATTGAATACCCATGGATGAAAGAAATATTGCCAAGTCTGTCTTAAAGGTGGCTAAGTTCTTTATATAGGGAACTCTGGTGGCCTAACAGTAAAAAGCCATGCTGCCAATCTAAAAGCACATGGTTTAAATCCACCAGCTGTTCTGTGGGAGAAAGATGGGTGATCTCCCATGAAATTTACTGCCTCCAAAAACCTTCTGGAGGGTCAGCTATCAATCTTTTCTGAGTCAATGGTACTCAACAAGTTTTGGGTTTTAAATAATAATAATAAAAATTAATGAAAAGTTTACAGACTTAGAGTTTCCTGTCATTCACTGTTGCATATTTCTCCCTATCCCCCCCCCCCCAATTTACTCTTCTCCTTGAAAAGAAAAACTCTTTCATTGTTTTGCAATTCCCTCCTCCCAAGTCCACTCCACTATGCAGCCTTCACTCTGGACTTCAGTAATGACAAAAATACCCATTCACATGTCCCTTTTAAACAGTTCTCTCCATCTGTTGCACTGCAGTATACATCATTTCTCCTCTCCTTTTCTGTCTTCCTGCAACCCAATGTCAATCCCGTTTTACAACAGTGGCCCTATGTAATGTCTGTCCTTTTGTGACTGAGAAATTTCACTCAGCATAATGTCCTCCAAGGTCACCCATTTTGCCTATTTCATGAGTTCCTTGTTTTTCCAATGATGCATAGTATTCCATTGTGTGAATATACCAGAGCTTCTCTATCCATTCGTTTGTTGATGGGCACTTGGGTTGTTTCCAGCTCTTTACTATTGCGAACAAAGCTGTAATTAATCTGGATGTGCATATATATGCTTGGGTGGCAGTTATGGTTTCTTTAGGGTAAATTCCCAGTAGTGGAATTGCTGGGTCAAATGGTATTTCTATTTGCAAATTTTTGAGAAAGCGCCATACGGCCTTCCATAGTGGTTGCACCATTTTACACTCCCACCAACAGTGAATAAGGTTTCCAGTTTGTCCCCCAAACTTGCCAGCATTTGATGTTTGCTGTTCTGTTAAATTTTGCTATTCTTACTGGGGTGAGATGGTATCTCATAGTTGTTTTCCAAGTAGTTTTTTATATCGGTTATTTATCAGGTATTTTTTTTAGGGATATCCTTTCTCTTCCTTACACTGTTCAACACTTTACTTAGAATTCTTCAACTCTTGTGTTTCAGTCTTTGCTCCAGTGCTCAATTCTCTACCTTAAAGCTTCAACATTAAAATTCAGATGATCTCTCAAGTCTTTTCTTACCCCTCTAAAAAAACCCTTTAGTCAATTTTCTAAGTTCCATTCTGTCTGTTGGTTGACTTCACAATGACATCTGATGTTTCTATGTGCTCAAGGTCTACTAGAAAAAGCAGCATGCTGACTCACAGCCATCAAGGACCGGTGCACTATTTTTATGTAAAGGTATAGACTAATAAATACATCCACTCCTCAATGGCATAGCTAGGTAGTACCAAAGGCCAGGTCATTATACAAAATGAAAAATGTTCTGCTTTGGTTAACCCTTGCTTCCTGTTTTAAAGATGACCTATTTGTCCAATTTTTTTTCATCTAGAGAATATGATCATAGACAGTAATTTCTAAGGTTTGCTCATTCATCACTGTGGTGATTCCTGTAAACTTCTCTGCTGGGGAGGCCTGGAAGAGACAAAGATAAATAATGTTCCCTTTGAGGGAAGCATTGGCAAGCACTGAGGCAGAAGCTTCATGCCTACTTTGAGATGCCATTAAACTTGTGTTTTTCCCTAACACTCTGCAGTCTCTTTCCTTACCAATGATAATTCTGAGCTACAGGGTTCAGGCCACAAAGAAAGTGAAATCCAGAATAGGTACCAGCTTGTTAGGTGCTGTCTGTATATTCATCTGGAGGCCTCTTACCCTGCTGGAAAAAAGGGATGGGAGGCCCAGCTTCCCAGAGACCCTTGTTAGAGACTGTAGCCACTATGCTTACGATAAGCAGCGTGTATTTTATTACTGTGAGAAATTAAAAATATCAGATAATTGGTAAATGGAGAGTATGTGTATTTTTCTGTAGTTTGGACTATACTTTTTCTGTCTTATGTATTCAGTCACTAGAGAGGAAAAGCAGCCATTACTGTGGCTGTCGAGTTAATTACAATCCACAGTGACCATTTAAGATCAAAAAACAACCCACAGAATTTCCAAAGCTGTAATCTTTATGGAGGCAAATTGCCCTATCTTTCTTTCTCCTGTACATCAATGGGTAGGTCTGAACTGTTGACTTCTGATTAGTAGCAGAGTACTGAACCTACACACCACCAAAATAAAAAAGTCAATCTCATTACCATTGAGTCAGAATCAACTGGTTTCCAAGTCTGTCAATACTCTGGGAGGAAATATCCTATCTTTTCTTTCCACAGCTGTTGGTGGCTTTAATACAGCCAAGGGGAATGAGCAGGACAACTCCCTACAAACCAAGCATCCTTTGAGCGACCACACACTCAAAAAACCGAACTCGCTCTTCTATCACGTCAGTTCTGACTTTGCATCTACAGGACAAAACTGAACTTCTTCAATGTGTCTTCCTTGACTGGCCATCTTTACAGGAGCAGACGGCCACATTTTTCTCCAAAGACTGGATGGTGGGTTCAAACCAAATTGATGGTGAGTTGGCAAATCAATTCTTAACCCACTGCACTACTAGAGCTTCTTAAAGCCACCAAAACCTCTTAAATTAATAGGTGTTACAAAATAATAGGATATGTTACAAAACTCTGTAAAAACAAGTGGTGGGATGAATTTGGCCCTCAGGCAATAATAGTTTATCAATCCTTGCAAATACAGTCAATCATATAGATTATTTTAATTTTCTGCTTTTTCTTTCCTTATAACACTCCAATATGAATTGTTCTACCTACTTGTGGTCTAATTATTGCTGTTGGAAAATATAACCTTGAAAAGACTGATGATCTTTTCCGCTCATGGTTCCTTGCTAGTTTAAGTTAAACTTAGTTCAACTAAGCAATAGCTTAATTGAGCTACATTAACTTAGCTCCACTGGAAGCATAAAAGTTTGGGAGTTTTTAAATACTCAGAGGTATCTTGAAGATAAAGGTCAACCAAGCTACTCTGCGCAAATGATATTTGGAAACCCTAAAGAGCATGTTCTACTATGACATTTGAGGTCACTAGGCTTAACAATCAACTCAATGGCAACTCTGAGGGAAAAAACTCTTCAGTGGGCTCATCTTATCTACATTCTTGGTTTCAGTTCCCAGCAATATTCTAGTCTAAAGTTCTCTCCTAAATGAAAGAATTCTGATTCCCATAAATTTTGCCTCACACAAGTTTTAAGTATTCAACTGGAAAATATGTAGAATGCAACTCACATTTTCTTCACAAAGTATTCCTTCTATTCTGTGCCTGCTATGTCTGATGCCACTGACACCCTCACACTGGTAAGCAACTAGCATTCTTTAGGTTTCCTTGATTTCTAGCTTGGAGTATCCTAACTCTGTAATTTATGATACAAATTATGGTACAAACTGTTACTCTCTTCCTTCTCTAATCCATTCCTCTTGTTGTGTAACCTCGAGTTAGAACCGACTCAAAGCCCCAGGGGGTTTTCAGAGGCTGTTTAATAACATGGTCAGAGACTGTCCATCTTTCTCCCACGGAGCATCTGGTGGATTTGAACCATGTTCTTTTGAGTTGTCAGTGCAACTCATATTACCACAAAGCCACCAGCCTCTTGGATGTTTCTAGAATGATTTATTTTAAAAGTAAAAATCTGATTTTGTTATACTCTATCTTTTAACTAAATGTACTGTGCACCCAAATTTCCCATTAGTTTCAGGAAGAAAACCAAATTGCCAACAAGGGACATATTAAGACATACAAAAACTTTCAGCCACATTTCCTAAGTAAAGACCTCCTTCCAACCCTGGTCTTCTGCCTTATTACAATAATTAGTATTTCTTTACAATTTCTCTGTAAATGTGTCATTGTTACATAAGTGTACGTCACAGATAGATGGTCTGTGATCAGTGGGGAACCCAGAATTTGACAGTTTTAGTCCACCAAGTGGTTCTCTGAAGAACCAGATTTGGCAATCTGCTTCTGCAGAGATTGTAGCCAATCTTACCCTGTGCCAAATGGGTGTGTCCAAAAGAAGTATAAAACTAATCAAGTGTATTATGGAATAGCTGATGCTCTAAGAAATCAGCAAAGGATCTCTCTCTGCTTTAAGAAACCAGCACACACCACAAGATAAATAACCCAACTGAAAAATGGGTACAGGATATGAACAGACACTTCACCAAAGAAGACATTCAGATGGCAAACACACACACGAAGAAATGTTCAAAATCCCTAGCTCTAAGAGAGATGCAAATCAAAACAACTATGAGATATCATCTCACCCCAGTTAGCAAAATTTAACACGGCAGCAAACATCAAATGCTGGCAAGGTTGTGGAGAAAGTGGAACCCTTATTCATTGCTGGTGGGAGTGTAAAATGGTGCAATCACTATGGAAGGCTGAATGGCACTTTCTCAAAAAGCTGCAAATAGAAATATCATTTGACCCAGTAATTCCACTGCTAGGAATATACCCTAGAGAAACCATAACTGCCATCCAAGCAGATACATGCACACCCATGTTCATCGCAGCTTTGTTCACAATAGCAAAGAGTTGGAAACAACCTAAGTGCCCATCAATAAACGAATGGATAGAGGTCTGGTATATTCATACAATGGAATACTATGCTGTAGTAAAAAACAATGAACTCATGAAATATTATTCAAAATGGATGATCCTGGAGGACATTATGCTGAGAAATATCTGTCACAAAGGGACAGATACTGTATAGTGCCACTGTTGTAAAATGAGACTAACATTGAGTTTGGGGGGAGACTGAGAAAGATGGGATAAATAATGTATACTGCATTGAAACAGATGAGGGAGAGAACTGTTTAAAAGAGATATATGATTACGTATTATTGTCATGACAGGAGTCCAGAACGAAGGCTGAAAGTGGAGTGGACTCTGGGGGTAGAGACTGTATAAAAATGAAAGAATTTTTCTTTTGCTTATTAAAGAGAAGAGTGAATTGGGAAGGAGGGTGGGCAGGGAGAAAAATGCAATAATGAATGAAGAGAAATCCAAAGTCTCTATAAATGTTAAGTTAAAAAAAAAAAAAGAAAAGAGGGGGGGGAAAAAAAAACCCCAAAAAACCCCACCCCAAAACAAACAAACAGCACAGAAACTCTTTCAAGTTGATTTTTCATATTTCTCCAAACTTTTCAATCACAAGTGGATCTTTTTTGTTTTGTGGTGGTGCAGCACCATTTGTACTCCTCAACTATAGCACTTGCACACTGTGTTTTAATACCAACATACAGCATCAGTCTTCTTTAACATACTATACTCTATGACCCTAAGGCAAAGTAATGGTTCTATCTGGCTCTTAACCTTTTGCCCAGTGCCTGATACAGAGTGGAAGCTCAAAAAAAAGAATGCACAAAAGGTACACCAGACTCAAATACAGCAAGAGTTATGAGGATGCCACAGGAGCAGGCAGTAGTCCATTCTGTTACAATGAGTTGAAACCAGCTTAAGGGTACTTAATAATCATTGTCAGAGGAAAACAAAAACAAAACAAAACAATCCCACCAAATCCACAAAAAACTTGCCTTGGTTTATGTTTCTGTTTACTATAAGAAAGTAACGTGAAGAAAAAACCTAGTTTTCTTTAAATAGGGAATCTCTATGAAATAATATAAACGATTAAAACATTTCCTGAAAAGTTTCAACCTGCACAGATGTATGCATTAAAAATCTATCTACGGTGTCTCATTTACCGTATCATCTGAGTATAAGGCAGTCCAAAACGGTTTTAAACACGTTGCGGCACACTTTTAATTGACAACCGTGCTTAGAAACACATTTTTTTTCTCTTCGATGTATTACCATCATTTGCTGCAATGTGTTAAACTAACACAATCCAATGATGCAGCAATAAAAGAAAACAAACTTTCTTTGTGGTTAGAATTGTAACATTTAAATTTTTAAAACTGTATTCATTCAAATGTTAATCATGAGAAATTCTCATAGCTCTGATATTATTTAATGTGGTATCCCCAAGCACCTCTAACACTGCATGCAGTACAAATTCAGTATTTGTTCACTCAGTGAATATACACAACATATAGCTTTGAAATAACTAAAAGTGAGGACATGTTTCAAATAAAAGAAAATGTTCTAAGCTTATGTTCAATTACCTCTTTGCAAATCTGTTTCATTGTGACTTCCTCCAGGTTAGCATTTGCCAATAATTTTTTAACTGTTTCCTTTAACTCTTCGTCTGTGGGAGGCTTCTTCAATTTTTTAATTAGAGGTTCATCATCTGAACTATCTTCTGATTCACTTTCTGAAAGTATTTTATCATATGTTAGCAAAAATTTTTGTTACATATGAAGTAATTCAAAACAGGTTAGTAATAATTCCAGGCAGGCTTTTCTTAATTTTATTCTCAGTGACTATAAATCACAAGATAAGCTACCTAAGAAACACGCACTTAAATTTTTCTTCCCCCCAGCCCCCACTTTCCATTGACACTGTTTTATAAAATTAAACACCACTGACCTATGCCCACCATTACTCTGTCTTTTCAGGTCCTCGCCGAATCTTTCCCATTTCCTTTATATCCTCCCCTCCATTCATCAAATTGCGTGACCCTGTGATTTCCCCTCTACTCACCCTTACCCCCTGATCCCATATACGGTTTAGTAGTTATCCTGTTTTTATAATGGTCTTATGCAGTATTTTTCCATATGAAACTTGAGTTAGTTCACTCAGCACAATTTCTACTCTACGTTGCTCGAGTGCTGCATAGTATTCCATTGTGTGAATATACCACTATCTTTTCAATCCTTCAACTGTGAATGGACATTTGGGCTCTTCCCATGTTCTTGCGATGTGAATAAAGCAGCTATGAATGCTGGTGTACAAATCAATGTTTCAGTTCTAAATTCCATGACGTATATTCCTAGCAGTGGACTGAATGGATCATATGGAGTTTCTATGTTCAGCTTTTTGAGAAAATGTCAAATGGCCTTCCAGAGTGGTTGAACCATTTTACCATCCCAGCACTGATACTTTTATAATTCTGAAAAATTACAAACTATTAAAATTCCATATATACTTAAAGCCTATGACAAAATATATGTAAGTTGTAACTGTTGAAGTGCTGATAATACGTCATTTCTAACATACCTTTCTTGGAACTGTTTTGATTCTTCTTGGTGGTGCTGCTATCTGCCTTCTTAACATTAGCACTTTTTGCAGATTTTTTACTTTTAGAAGCAGCTTTAGGCTTAGGCTTTTCTTTCTTAGGTGTCTTTTTTGGTGGCTGTTTGAAAGAAAAGAAAAGTGCAGATATAGGTGAGATGCACTGTGACCACTCTACTCCTATAATCAGAAGAGTAGTGAAAATTAAGGTATTAATATCCATGATTAAGTTGTAATCAACTATGAATTTTGAAACATGACAAAACCAATTTTTTCCAACACAAGGCTATGAATAAAAGGAATTATTAGAAGTTTAGCAGTTGGCTATGTCTTTACTGTATTCAGAATTTATGTTATACCTTACTTAATGTTGGAAAAATCCTTCTAATAGTATCCTTAAGGACCCCTGGTTGCACAGTGGTTAAGCACTGAACTGTTAACCAAAAGGTTGGTGATTTAAACCTATCAGCAGCTGTTCTGTGGGAGGAAAACGTAGCCTTGGAAACTCTTTGGGTTCTTCTCTCCCTGTACGTGGCTGAATCAAGCCTGACTCAATGACAAGTTTTGATTCTTTTGTTTTTTTGTGTCTCAACTGCAATATTAACTTCTATGAGGATAGAGCTCCCTGCTCTCTTTTATTAACATATACATCCCCAACCCCTAAAGCAGGGAGATCTAGTGGTAAGAAACTGCACTGCAATCCGAAAAGGCATGTGGTTTGAATCCACCAATTGCTCTGCAGTATAAGGATGAGCTATCTCCTCTACTATGATTCACTGCCTTTGAAAACCTGCCAGAGGGTCAGCTATGGGTCAGTTCAGACTCCACGGTACCCAACAACCACTTCTGAAAAAGAACGAAGTACAAAATTTGTTCAACATTTATGTTTGCATAAATAAGGGAACCATGTTCAGAGAGGTTCATTCATCCAAGTTCAAAAAAAGAGTCAAGAATCAAAGACAGATCTGCATGACTCCAGTACTAGTCCTTAAAGGACTTAAGTTAGAACTGATTAAAGCAAAACACAAGCATCTGGGTAGATTAAATTTACAAAATTAGGCTGTAGTCAACTGTATTTCACTGTTAAAAAATTGATTCACTGTTTAAAAAGTGCATTGCACAATCTCTTCCAAATGTTACATGGGCTCAAAGTAGGAGATTCGTTTCTGTGTTTGTCTTCTTTCTTGCTGTACCATCACTGAACAGCTGTAGGTAAGCTCAGTTATCACCCTGAACTATTTATTCCAATAATATACTGTGTCATCTACCTAGCTCAACAGCTACTAAGAATGGATTTATGAGATGTCAAGGACTGGCATGCTTCTAAAAGTGAAATGCATGATCTTTCTTAAGGTATTTTTCTGTCTGGAGATCAGTTTTACTTATTTGTTAATTCTCAGAAATGGTTCAGATATGGGGACTGTGCAGACACCAGTGTTCCGTCAGTTTTCTATGACTACCTTAAACAAAATATTAAGTTTATTATGTGTCCACTTAGATCATGAAGACTTCTAGGTTCTGAAATGAAATAATAAAAATTTCTAAATTCAGTTGATGTATGTTGTTGATAGCCACTGAGTCGAGCACAACTCATAGAGACTCTATTCTGTTGACGTATACACAGAATAAAATCATCAGTATCATCATTCCTCCAAGCAAACAATTAAGTTCTTAGCTACCTGCATAAAGAGTAGAGGTTTGAATCCAGTCAGAGGCTGAATCAATGGAATAGCTGTGAATTTGGTTTTGGCTTAGAGGTCACTTGGAAGCTACTACTGAAAAACAACAATCACAACACCCATGGCAGCTAGTTTGATTATCTCTCCAGTCAAAGGTTAAATAATATCTAGGCCTGTAACTTATTCAAATATTTCACAAGAAATCAGGCAAGAGATACCAATGTTATTATTATTCAAGACCCATACAAATTAGAGAACTAGAATTAAATTACTAAATACTTCTAGAGTTTTCTAAGGCTCTTTCTAAAGGTATAATTTTGTGATTAAAAGTTTAGAAAACACACACAGTATGACATCATTTAGTAACCTGCACACTGACAGTAGCACAAAAACAAGCACTGATAAAATAAAGGCTAATCAAGCTACTGCAATAAGATTTTACTTCTGATGAAAGAGATAAAATGTTATTTGAGTATATTTATAGACACACTGGAAGGAGACTGTTCTGACCCACCAACCAGTCCTTGGAACAAACATGGCCAGTTTCCTCACATTAACATTTATGCCTTGAAAACTGACAAAGGGCAGATCTGCACCAGAACTGACTGTATGACTGTGGGCTTGGTATTGCTTGATATGGAGTACATGAAAGTACTTTTAATGGTGGCTGGTATATGTTGTTACTAGATTCATTCCTAGATAGCCTTTGAAGATCTTTCCAAACGCTAAGATTACAATTCACTAGAATGAGTATGCAGATTAAGACAAACATGCTTTCTACCAAGTTAGTCTCTTCTTTTTTAACATCATTGTATGGTATTTAACCTGCACAGCCTAAAAATTTAGAGGAATCAAAAGTAAATACTGTAGGATTTGCAAGCCACCTATAGCCTTGGCATAACATCTTTCTTTAAAAATATTTAAAAAAGGAAAATCATGCTTAGCTTACACTCTTAAACAACAAAAGAAAAGCAGGCTGCAGACTGAATGTGGGCTGCCTTCTAGTCATAGATAATAAGTTATTATAGGTGAAGAACAGAAACTGGGTAGAGCAATTGATAATGCCACAGGTTATTTTCATAGCTTTTATATTTTTACAAGCAGATGGATTTATACTCAAATCAACTTTACAAATACTATTGCTTAGTAAGGACCTGTGCTGTCAACCCAAAGACATATAGTTCAAACACATCAGCAGCTCCATGAAAGAAAGATGGGCAGCCTTCTCTTGTGCAATTTGTAGTTGTTGTTATGTGCCGTCGAGTCACTTGCGACTCATAGCGACCCTATATACAACAGCCCTAAACTCTGCTCTATCCTGTGCCAATCGCACTCTCGGACACACCCACCCCGTTTACCCCAGTCACGGAATCAATCCACCTCATAGAGGGCCTTCCCCTCCTGCGCTGTCCCTCCACCCTACCAAGCATGATGTCCCTCTCCAAAGACCGGTCTGTCCTCACAACATGTCCAAAGTATGTTAGATGGAGCCTCAGAATCCTTGCCTCCAAGGAGCCACCCGGTTTAACCCTTTCCAGGATGAATCTGTTTTCCTAGCAGTCCATGGTACCCTCAATACTCTTCTCCAGCACCACAGCTCAAAGGCATCAATTCTTCCTCTATCCTCCTTAGTCACTGTCCAACTCTGATGCATGTTTTGCTATCACTTGTGCAATTTACAACCTCCAAAAACCCACTGGAGGATCAGCTTTGAGTCAATTACGGCCTGAAATCACACAACATTGCTTACTATAAAAATTTTTACCTATGCAAGCACATTGGAGTGCATTCGGGGCGGGCCCAGGGGGGTGGGGGGATTGTATACCAATGAAGAAGTTTATCTTTTGCTTTTTGAAGAGAGGAGCGAACTGGGGTGGGGGGGTGTTTAGAGAAAAAAGTGCAACAATGAATGAATGGAAATCCCAAATCTCTGTAAATGTTCATTAAAATTTTAAGAAAAAATTGTTTTACCTATATCAGTTGTTTTAAGGCAAAAAGACTAAAGACAGAAATAGATGAACTAGAAGCTCTGGAAAGAAATTAAGATGGAGCCACTGGCTGTACTAAGAATTCACTCAACTAATAGAGGTTAGGTATCACCCAAAGGGACTTTACAAGGACTGGCGAGTTCTGAAAGATCAGAGCCTTAATAACCAACCCCATGTTCCACTCTGCACTCATGAACAGGAGTCACAAGCAATTAAATCACAACTAGCAAGAGAAAATATATATTTTAAAAAGATGACTAAAGATGTATCTACTTCCTTCATACTATCAAGAGTACATAAAATGTACAGGCCTAAGGTGATAGTGACTTAGTGACTCCAGGATGAATATATTCCTTACAATCAGACAAGTTTAACAAAATTGCATCTTCTATCAGAAGGCAGAAGAGACAGCAAGGATGAACAGAAATGGTAAACACTGGAAGGATGACAATATGAAAATATATAATAGAAAGTAGATTTTCAATCATTTCTTATATTAACGTGGCTGTTAGGTGTAATTAAGTTGACCACACCACAGTGATCCTATGAACAACAGACTGGTGCCCTGGTGCACCATCCTCGTCAGAATCTTCACCATGTGCAGGCCCACTGATGTAGTCACTGTACATCATCTCATTGATGGTCTTCTGTTTTGTTCACTCTCTATTTACTGAAAGCACTGGCCCTTCCTGACATGACAAGTATGTAGGAAGTTGTTTCACTATCCATGCTGTTAAGGAGTATGCTGGTAATTATTTCTCTAAGACAGATTTATTTGTCCTTTTGGAAACCAATGATCTAGTCAGGTACCAAGAAATGCTTTCTAAAGGATCATCACTTCCTCCCCAGGAAACTATGAGTATTCATTTTTCCTTCCATTTTCTAAAGGATCATCAATCACTTCCTCCCCAGGAAACTATGAGTATTCATTTTTCCTTCCATTCTGGAGAAAGCTTGGGTATCATTTGAACAAGTGAAAAATTATAAACCTCTTCCCAAAAGTTGTAAGTCTCATGACTTCGCTACAGTCCGACTTCACCCTATCTAAACTATAGGCTCATCCTTCAATAAAAACTCTACTGGGCACACAACTCTAATTAAAAACTTGTACGTTTGTCAAAGGCATTCCAAACTTTCCTGTTTCTCATCTTTATTTCCATGTCTCACTTTTTCATTTTCAAGGTCCACTTGTATAGGTGTTGCTTCTTCCACATTCCCTCAATGCCTTCATCAGCAGATAAGGAAAAATTTTCTTTTGAAATCCTTAATACTCAGTATCATTTAAGTGGCATGTTGAGTAGAAAATGTTTTATCATTCTGAAGACTCAAACTAAGTAATCAAAAGTGATTACATTAGAAATCAGTATTAGCCCTTAATATAAGTCTCTTTTTAAACAATATCAAAACTTCAGTAAGTATAGTAAAAATATTATATGACATCATGAAGGCAAAAT